CTTTCCCTAGAGTGGAATGAAGGAAGATGATGAGATCAGGACACAAGATTTAGGAAGTATCAATACTCTAACTACAATTCAACACCCACTACGTTGGTGTTACACATTCCTTGAAGTTTCCCAGCCAAGGAAACAAATGTTCTTCCACATCTTGGGTGGTCCCCCATGGTGTCTAACTGTGCTGTCTCACGTGGTGTCCAACTGAGGGCTGGCAGGTATAATTTGAAGCCTGACTTCCTCAGAAAAAGGAGCAAACCGATAATAATGACATGGAGAATACTGTGACCACATTTTCTATGCTTGTGCTTGCAAATCAAGGCTCTATGTGAGTGGTTATATACCCACATGCAAACTCAAATACATACCTCTGTGGGTTTGTTTGTATACAGATGCAAATCACAGACATTCCAAAGCTTGGATCTGGTTCTGGAGAACACTACATAGACTTGTTCTTTGGAACTCACAGACAATTATTTTAAAATTTATTTTATTGAGTACAGTTGTTTTACAATGTTGTGTTAATTTCTCCTGTACAGCAAAGTGATTACCTTACACATATATATATATTCTTTTTTTTAATAGATCGTTATTGGAGTATAATTGCTTTACAATGTTGTGTTAGTTTCTGCTGTATAACAAAGTGAATCAGCCATATGAATACATATATCCCCATATCCCCTCCCTCCCAAGCCTCCCTCCCACCCTTCCTATCCCACCCCTCTAGGTCATCTCAAAGCACCAAGCTGATCTCCCTGTGCTATGCGGCTGCTTCCCACTAGCTATTTTACATTCAGTAGTGTATATATGTCGATGCTACTCTCACTTCGCCCCAGCTTCCCCCTCCCACCCCGTGTCCATTCTCTATGTCTACGTCTTTATTCCTGCCCTGCAACTAGGTTTATCAGTACCTTTTTTTTTTTTTTAGATTCCATATATATGCACTAGCATATGGTATTTTTCTCTTTCTGACTTACTTCACTCTGTATGACAGACTCTAGGTCCATCCACCTCACTACAAATAACTCAATTTTGTTTCTTTTTATGGCTGAGTAATATTCCATTGTATATATGTGCCACATCTTCTTTATCCATTCATCTGTCGATGGACACTTAGGTTGGTACCATTTCCTGGCTATTGTAAATAGTGCTTCAGTGAACATTGTGGTACATGTCTTTTTGAATTATGGTTTTCTCAGGGTATATGCCCACAGTGGGATTGCTGGGTCGTATGGTAGCTCTATTTTTAGTTTTTTAAGGAACCTTCATACTGTTTTCCATAGTGGTTGTTTCAATTTACATTCCCACCAACAGTGCAACAGGACTCCCTTTTCACCACACCCTTTCCAGCATTTATTGTTTCTAGATTTTTTGATAATGGCCATTCTGACCAGCGTGAGGTGATACCTCATTGTAGTTTTGATTTGCATTTCTCTAATAATTAGTGATGTTGAGCACCTTTTCATGTGCCCCTTGGGCATCTGTATGCCCTCCTTCATGAAACGTCAACTTAGGTGTTCTGCCCATTTTTTAATTGGATTGTTTGTTTTTTTGATATTGAGCTCCGTGAGCTGTTTGTATATTTCAGAGATTAATATTTTGTCTGGGGCTTCCCTGGTGGTGCAGTGGTTGAGAGTCCACCTGCCAATGCAAGGGACACGGTTCGAGCCCTGGTCCGGGAGGATCCCAAATGCCGCGGAGCAACTAAGCCCGTGCGCCACAACTACTGAGCCTGTGCTCTGGAGCCTGCAAGCCATAACTACTGAGCCCATGTGCTGCAACTACTGAAGCCCGTGTGCCTGGAGCCCGTGCTCCGTAACAAGAGAGGCCATGGCAATGAGAGGCCTGCGCACTGCAGTGAAGTGGCCCCTGCTCGCCACAACCAGAGAAGGCCCCCGCACAGCAACAGAGACCCAACGCAGCCAAAATAAATAAATAAATAAATTTATTTAAAAATATATATATATTTTGTCTGTTGTTTCATTTGCAAGTATTTTCTCCCATTTTGAGAAATCAAAGATGACAAACAGATGGAGAAATATACCATGTTCTTGGATTGGAAGAATCAATATTGTGAAAATGACTATACTACCCAAAGCAATCTACAGATTCAATGTAATCCCTATCAAACTACCAGTGGCATTCTCCACAGAATTAGAACAAAAAATTTTACAATTTGTATGGAAACACAAAAGACCCTGAATGGCCAAAGTGATCTTGAGAAAGAAAAATGGAGCTGGAGGAATCAGGTTCCCTGACCTCACACTATACCACAAAGCTACAGTAATCAAGACAGTATGGTACTGGTACAAAAACAGAAATACAGATCAATGGTACAGAATAGAATGCCCAGAGATAAACCCACGCATATATGGTCACCTAATTTACAACAAAGGAGGCAAGAATATACAATGGAGAAAAGACAGGCTCTTCAATACATGGTGCTGGGAAAACTGGACAGCTACATGTAAAAGAATGAAATTAGAACACTACCTAACACCATATACAAACGTATATATATTCTTTTTCATATTCTTTTCCATTATGGTTTATTACAGGACATTGACTATAGTTCCCTGTGCTACACTGTAAAACCCTGTTGTCCCTCCATTCCATACACAATAGTTTGTATCTGCTAATCCCAAACTCCCAATCCATACCTCTACCACCCCACTTCCCCCTTGGCACCCACAAGTCTGTTCCCTATGTCTGGGAACTCACAACCAATTTTTTTTTTAAATCTTCATTGGAGTATAATTGCTTTACAATGTTGTGTTAGTTTCTGCTGTATAACAAAGTGAATCAGCCATATGCATACATATATCCCCATATCCCCTCCCCCTTGCATCTCCCTCCCACCCTCCATATCCCACCCCTCTAGGTGGTCACAAAGCACCAAGCTGATCTCTCTGTGCTGTGCAGCTGCTTCCCACTAGCTATCTATTTTACATTTGGTAGTGTATATATGTCCATGCCACTCTCTCTTCGTCCCAGCTTACCCTTCCCCCTCCATGTATCCTCAAGCCCATTCTCTACATCTGAGTCTTTATTCCTGTCCTGCCCCTAGGTTCTTCAGAACCATTTTTTGTTTTAGATTCCATATATATGTGTAAGCATACAGTATTAGTTTTTCTCTTTCTAACTTATTTCACTCTAGGACAGACTCTAGGTCCATCCACCTCACTACAAATAACTCAATTTTGTTTCTTTTTATGGCTGAGTAATATTCCATTGTATATACGAGCCACATATTCTTTATCCATTCATCTGTCGATGGACAATTAGGTTGGTTCCATTTCCTGGCTATTGTAAATAGTGCTGTAATGAACATTGTGCTACATGACTCTTTTTGAATTATGCTTTTCTCAGGGTATATGCCCAGTAGTGGGATTGCTGGGTCATATGGTAGTTCTATTTTTAGTTTTTTAAGGAACCTCCATACTGTTCTCCATAGTGGCTGTATCAATTTACATTCCCACCAACAGTGCAACAGGACTCCCTTTTCTCCACACCCTCTGCAGCATTTATTGTTTGTAGATTTTTTGATGAAGGACATTCTGACCGGTGTGAGGTGATGCCTCATTGTAGTTTTGATTTGCATTTCTCTAATGATTAGCAATGTTGAGCATCCTTTCATGTGTTTGTTGGCAATCTGTATATCTTCTTTGGAGAAATGTTTATTTAGGTCTTCTGCCCATTTTTGGATTGGGTTATTTGTTTTTTTGATATTGAGCTCCATGAGCTGCTTGTATATTTTGGAGATTAATCCTTTGTCAGTTGCTTCGTTTGCAAATACTTACTCCCATTCTGCAGGTTGTGTTTTCATTTTGTTAATGGTTTCTTTTGGCGTGCAAAAGCTTTTAAGTTTCATTAGGTCCCATTTGTTTATTTTTGTTTTTATTTCCATTTCTCTGGGAGGTGGATCAAAAAGGATCTTGCTGTGATTTATGTCATAGAGTGTTCTGCCTATGTTTTCCTCTAACATTTTTATAGTGTCTGGCCTTACATTTAAGTTTTAATCCATTTTCAGTTTATTTTTGTGTATAGTGTTAGGGAGTGTTCTAATTTCATTCTTTTACATGCAGCTGTCCAGTTTTCCCAGCACCATGTATTGAAGAGCCTGTCTTTTCTCCATTGGATATTCTTGCCTACTTTATCAAAAATAAGGTGACCATATGTGCATGGGTTTATCTCTGGGCTTTCTATCCTGTTCCATTGATCTATATTTCTGTGTTTGTGCCAGTACCATCCTGTCTTGATTACTGTAGATTTGTAGTACAGTCTGAAGTCTGGGAGCCTGATTCCTCCAGCTCTGTTTTTCTTTCACAAGATGGCTTTGGCTATTCGAGGTCTTTTGTGTTTCCATACAAATTGTGAAATTTTTTGTTCTACTTCTGTGAAAAATGCCACTGGTAGTTTGATAAGGATTGCATTGAATCTGTAGATAGCTTTGGGGAGTATAGTCATTTTCACAATGTTGATTCTTCCAATCTAAGAACATGGTATATCTCTCCATCTGTTTGTATAATCTTTAATTTCTTTCATCAGTGTCTTACACTTTTCTGCATATAGGTTTTTTTCTCCTTAGGTAGGTTTATTCCTAGGTATTTTATTCTTTTTGTTGCAATGGTAAATGGGAGTGTTTCCTTAATTTCTCTTTCAGACTTTTCATCATTAGTGTATAGGAATTCAAGAGATTTCTGTGCATTAATTTTGTATCCTGCTACTTTACCAAATTCATTGATTAGCTCTAGTAGTTTTCTGGTAGCATCTTTGGGATTTCCTATGTATAGTATCATGTTATCTGCAAACAGTGACAGCTTTACTTCTTGCTTTCCAATTTGGATTCCTTTTATTTCTTTTATTTTCTCTGCTTGCTGTGGCTAAAACTTCCAAAACTACGTTGAATGATAGTGGTGAGAATGGGCAATCTTGTCTTTTTCCTGATCTCAGTGGAAATGATTTCAGTTTTTCACCACTGAGAACGATGCTGGCTGTAGGTTTGTCATATATGGCCTTTATTATGTTGAGATAAGTTCCCTCTATGCCTACTTTCTGGAGGGTTTTTATCATAAATGGGTGTTGAATTTTGTGGAAAGTTTTTTCTGCATCTATTGAGATGATCATATGGTTTTTATCCTTCAATTTGTTAATATGGTGTATCACATTGATTGATTTCCATATATTGAAGGGTCCTTGCATTCCTGGGATAAACCCTACTTGATCATGGTGTATGACCCTTTTAATGAGCTGCTGGATCCTGTTTGCTAGTATTTTGTTCAGAATTTTTGCATCTATGTTCATCAGTGATATTGGCCTGTAGTTTTCTTTTTTTGTGACATCTTTGTCTGGTTTCAGTATCATGGTGATGGTGGAATGAGTTTGGGAGTGTTCCTCCCTCTGCTATATTTTGGAAGAGTTTGAGAGCTCTGTGAAGCCTGTGAAGCCATCTGGTCCTGGGTTTTTGTTTGTTGGAAGATTTTTAATCAGAGTCTCAATTTCAGTGCTTGTGATTTGTCTGTTTATATTTTCTATTTCTTCCTGGTTCAGTCTCGGAAGATTGTGCTTTTCTAAGAATTTGTCCATTTCTTCCAGATTGTCCATTTTATTGGCATAGAGTTGCTTGTAGTAATCCCTCATGATTTTTTGTATTTCTGCAGTGTCAGTTGTTACTTCTCCTTTTTCATTTCTGATTCTATTGATTTGAGTCTTCTCCCTTTTTTTCTTGATGAGTCTGGCTAATGGTTTATCAGTTTTGTTTATCTTCTCAAAGAACTAGCTTTTTTTTTTTTAATTATTTTTTTAATTTATTTTGGCTGTGCTGGGTCTTCGTTTCTGTGCGAGGGCTTTCTCTAGTTGTGGCAAGTGGGGGCCACTCTTCATTGCGGTGCGCAGGCCTCTCACTATCGCGGCCTCTCTTGTTGCAGAGCACAGGCTCCAGAGGCGCAGGCTCAGTAGTTGTGGCTCACGGGACTAGTTGCTCCACGGCATGTGGGATCCTCCCAGACCAGGGCTCGAACCCGTGTCCCCTGCATTAGCAGGCAGATTCTCAACCACTGCGCCACCAGGGAAGCCCCAAAGAGCTAGCTTTTAGTTTTATTGGTCTTTGCTATCGTTTCCTTCTTTTTCCTTTATTTCTGATCTGATCTTTATGATTTATTTCCTTCTGCTAAATTTGGGGGTTTTTTTGTGTTCTTCTTTCTCTAATTGCTTTCGGTGTAAGGTTAGGTTGTTTTTTTGAGATGTTTCTTGCTTCTTGTGGTAGGATTGTATTGCTATAAACTTCCCTCTTAGAACTGCTTTTGCTGCATCTCATAGGTTTGGGTTGTCATGTTTTCATTGTCATTTGTTTCTACGTGTTTTTTGATTTCCTCTTTGATTTCTTCAGTGATTTCTTGGTTATTTAGTAGCGTGTTGTTTAGCCTCCATGTGTTTGTATTTCTTACAGTTTTTTTCTTGTAACTGATATCTAGTCTCATAGTGTTGTGGTCGGAAAAGATACTTGATACAATTTCAATTTTCTTAAATTTACCAAGGCTTGATTTATGACCCCAGATATGATCTATCCTGGAGAATGTTCCACGAGCACTGAGAAGAAAGTGTATTCTGTTGTTTTTGGATGGAATGTCCTATAAATATCAATTAAGTCCATCTTGTTTAATGGGTCATTTAAAGCTTGTGTTTCCTTATTTATTTTCATTTGGTGAAAGTGGGGTGTTAAACTCCCCTACTATTATTGTGCTACTGACGATTTCCCCTTTAATGGCTGTTAGCATTTGCCTTATATATTGAGGTGCTCCTATGCTGGGTGCATAAATATTTACAATTGTTATATCTTCTTCTTGGATTGATCCCTTGATCATTATGTAGTGTCATTCTCTGTCTCTTGTAATAGTCTTTATTTTAAAGTCTATTTTATCTGATATGAGAATTGCTCCTCCAGCTTTCTTTTGATTTCCATTTGCATGGAATATCTTTTTCCATCCCCTCACTTTCAGTCTGTATGTGTCCCTAGGTCTGAAGTGGGTCTCTTGTAGACAGCATATATACAGGTCTTGTTTTTGTATCCATTCAGCCAGCCTGTGTCTTTTGATGGGAGCATTTAATCCATTTACATTTAAGGTAATTATTGATATGTATGTTCCCATTACCGTTTTCTTAATTGTTTTGGGTTTGTTTTTGTAGGTCTTTTCCTTCTCTTGTGTTTCCTGCCTAGAGAAGTTCCTTTAGCATTTTTTGTAAAGTTGGTTTGGTGGTGCTGAATACTCTTAACTTTTGCTTGTCTGTAAGGGTTTTAATTTTTCCGTCGAATCTGAATGAGATCCTTGCTGGGTAGAGTAATCTTGGTTGTAGGTTCTTCCCTTTCATCACTTTAAATATGTCCTGCCACTCCCTTCTGGCTTGCAGAGTTTCTGCTGAAAGATCAGCTGTTAACCTTATGGGGATTCCCTTGTATGTTATTTGTTGCTTTTCCCTTGCTGCTTTTAATATTTTTTCTTTGTATTTAATGTTTGATAGTTTGATTAGTATGTGTCTTGGCGTGTTTCTCCTTGGATTTATCCTGTATGGGACTCTCTGCGCTTCCTGGAGTTGATGCGCTATTTCCTTTCCCATGTTAGGGAAGTTTTCAACTATAATCTCTTCAAATATTTTCTCAGTCCCTTTCTTTTTCTCTTCTTCTTCTCGGACCCCTATAATTCAAGTGTTTGTGTGCTTAATGTTGTCCCAGAGGTCTCTGAGACTGTCCTCAATTCTTTTCATTCTTTTTTCTCTATTCTGCTCTGCAGTAGTTATTTCCACTATTTTATCTTCCAGGTCACTTATCCATTCTTCTTCCTCAGTTATTCTGCTATTGATTCCCTCTAGAGAATTTTTAATTTCATTTATTGTGTTGTTCATCATTGTTTGTTTGCTCTTTAGTTCTTCTAGGTCTTTGTTAAATGTTTCTTGTATTTTCTCCATTCTATTTCCAAGATTTTGGATCATCTTTACTATCATTACTCGGAATTCTTTTTCAGGTAGACTGCCTATTTCCTCTTCATTTGTTTGGTCTAATGGGTTTTTACTTTGCTCCTTCATCTGCTGCGTATTTTTCTGTCTTCTCATTTTGCTTGACTTACTGTGTTTGGGGTCTCCTTTTCGCAGGCTGCTGGTTTGTAGTTCCTATTGTTTTTGGTGGCTGTCCCTAGTGGGTGAGGTTGATTCACTGAGTTGTGAGGCTTCCTGATGGAGGGGACTGGTGCCTGTGTTCTGGTGCATAAGGCTGGATCTTGTCTTTCTGGTAGGCAGGACCACATCCGGTGGTGTGTTTTGGGGTGTCTGTGAACTTATTATGATTTTAGGCAGCCTCTCTGCTAATGGGTGGGGTTGTGTTCCTGTCTTTCTAGTTGTTTGGCATGGGGTGTCCAGCACTGGAGGTTGCTGGTCATTGAGTGGAGCTGGGTCTTAGCGTTGAGATGGAGATCTCTGGGAGAGCTGTTGCCGATTGATATTACATGGGGGCCTGGAGGTCTCTGGTAATCCAGTGTCCTGAATTAGGCTTTCCCACCTCAGCGGCTCAGGCCTGACACCCGGCTGGAGCACCAAGACCCTGTCAGCCACATGGCTCTTTTTCTAGTTTCTGTCCTTTTACCACACTTAGGTTTTTTCCTTCATATCATTCAGTCTTGCTAAAGTTCTGGGGTCATCTCAGAGATCAATCTGAGTCCCTATTAGTGTTGGAGGGTCTCCTGCAGAGGCAGGGGGTGGCTGTGGCTTACTGTGGGGACAAGGACACTGGCAGCAGTAGTTCTGGGAAGTACTCCTTGGTGTGAGCTCTACCAGAGTCCCTCACAACCAACTTTGTTTTTAATAAATTTATTTATTTTATTTTATTTATTTCTGGCTCTTTGGGTCTTTGTTGCTCTGTGCAGGCTTTCTCTAGTTGCAGCGAGTGGGGGCTACTCTTCGTTGCAGTGCATGGGCTTCTCATTGCAGTGGCTTCTCTTGTTGCACAGCATGGGCTCTAGGCATGTGGGCTTCAGTAGTTGTGGCACACGGGCTCAGTAGCTGTGGCTCGCAGGCTCTAGAGCGCAGGCTCAGTAGTTGTGGCGCACGGTCTTAGCTGCTCTGTGGTATGTGGGATCTTCCTGGACCAGGGCTCGAACCTGTGTCCCCTGCACTGGCGGGCAGATTCTTAACCACTGTGCCACCAGGGAAGTTCCCCAATTTTTAAAGAGGCAAAAATTCAATCCTTTAAGTGCATCCAAAACAAGATATAAGTAAAACTAAAGTTAGCTGAGATGAGGGGAAAAACGGCACCCACAATCCAAAACATAAATAGTCCTCCAATCCTTTCTGTTTCACTTCAGGATGGTATTGCTTCTCATGGATATTCCTAACAGTGAGCATTTATTGAATATGTGCAACACGATAATCCACATGAAGAGATTATTGGGCACTAGCTCTTCCTGCAGAGATCAACATCAACCAATAAGTAACTCTAAATCCAGGACTCTGGGATAGAAGGAAGTTAGTTACCTGACAAACCACTTACCTCAACACTCTTACTTGCCATTTGTTATGTCATGCAAAGGAGAAGGCCTAGACAAGTGAACCACAGGGCATGCCAAGACTGTGCTCCTTCAACTGGCTCTTTGGCAGAGCCCACCCCTCTGTCTCCTTCCCCTCAGAGGAATGGTGAAATCTGCTGAAAGCAGGCTGCTGAGTCAGCCTCTGGATCGCCAGGTGTGGTTAATCCCTGAAATGCAGGTGTGGGTGTGGGAGGGTGTGTGATAGAATATTAATCTTTTTTACTTTTCTGTATCTTTTAATTTAATAGAAAACAGAAAGCCTTATGGTAACCCCAGGGTTTAAATTTTTCTAGCATTTTTATATACTACCTGAATATTTGCTTTTTTTAATAACAACTTTATTGAGATATAATTCCCATACTGTACAATTCACCTGTCTAAATTTATACCTGGATAGCTGAGCACAGTGTCAAAGTATAAAGCATTTAAAAATAACTATTTTAAATAAAAACTATTTATTTAAAATATTTAAATTATTTATTATTTATTTTAAATAAATAAATATTATTTATTTTAAATAAATAAATAATAAATAAACAATACTTATACAATTTAATAATAACAATAAATAATAATAATAAATTAAATAAATAAATAACATTCCTCACATCGGGCTAGGCATCTAGCTTTATTTTGTACCTCATATGCATGTGGATGATGATAAGAGGATTTGGGAGACAAGGAGAATGAACTTCCATTAGCCAAGGGTGAGAGAGTTTGAGTAGTGATAAGAATAATAACATATCTTGGGGAGGGGAGAATTAAGATATATTTGCGGCAGTTATTTTCAAGCTTTATTTTTCTTTTAGCAGGTTTTTAAAGAAACTGTCTGCAGATTCCCAGTAATAAAAGTGGAGGTCAAAAGGAAAGAAGGCCCTCTCCTCCTGCTCTGTAGACATAGAACTCTCAGAAAACATAGCTTGGAAAACATTATATTAGGGGGTTATAAGAAGTCGGGTATCGCTGTCAATAAACTTCTTAAGTAGCAGCACATTTTCTTTTTTTTTCCCTTTCTTTTCTTTTTTTTTTTGGCCACACGGCTTGTGGGATCTTAGTTCCCCAACCAGGGATGGAACCCACATCCCTGCCCTGGAAGCATGGAGTCTTAACCACTGGACCACCAGGGAAGTCCCGAGATGTCTTACTTAAGAACAACAATGAGGGTGGGATGAATTGGGAGATAGGGATTGACATATATACACTATTGATACTATGTATAAAATAGATAACTAATGAGAACCTACTGTATAGCACAGGGAACTCTACTCAATACTCTGTGGTGACCTAAATGGGAAGGAAATCCAAAAAAGAGGGGATATATGTATACGCATAGCTGATTCACTTTACTGTACAGTAGAAACTAACACAACATTATAAAGTAACTATACTCAAATAAAACTTTTTTTAATAAAATAAAATAAAATAGTGCTAGATGGGAAGAAAAAGAACAATGACCATTAATAGGTGGAGATTTCTGCAACTTGCTCATCAGACAGCAAATGATCTAGACTAGCACCGTCCAAATAGAACTTTCTGCAGTGATGGAAATGCTCTGTATCTGCCCTGTCCAGTATAGCAGCCCTTGGCAACAAGCAGCTCTTAAGTACATGAACTGTGGCAATGTGACCAAGGTACAGTATTTAAAGTTTTATTTAACCTAATGTAAATGTAAATAGCTATATGTAGCTAGTGGCTACCATATTGGACACTGCAAGTCTAGACAAAAAACTCTGGTGGGTTTCACACGGTAAGTTAAATTAACCACTGCAAAAGAAATAAAGACACATGAGAGTGGCTCAAAGAATGAGAAGGACTTACCATCTCCATCTTCTCCATAGGCCAGAAAAGGAGGTATGGTGATGATGCGCTTTTCTCCCACACACATCCCCAACAGCCCTTTGTCCATTCCAGGAATCAGCCAGCCAATTCCCACATATGTGTCATATGTTTTCATGCGATTGTGACTGAAAACCAATGAGAAAGGGGAAAAGTTCCATACCATGAGGGCATTTCCAATTCATCCTTCAAAATGTTTTTGTTACCCAAAACTCAGCTACCAATGAACTCATACCCATCCCTGGAGAAAAAGCATGTATATATCTTTGTTCCCAATCACAGAGCAGTTGGGAATGAATCCCTTTTCTGATTTCTCCATGGGCATAAAAAAGCAGATGAGAGAGAAAGAACTAAGGGGCATTTCAATGATACTACCATGAATGGCGGGACTTACCTCGAATCAAACAGTGTCCCATCCAAGAACGTTCCATTGTAGTGGTACCTAACAAAATCAGACACCTGGATGGTCCGAGGGCAACTGGGGGGCTTGAAGTAAGTGTGAATCTGAACCTGATCTTCTGAATTCCAAATATCCATCAGAAGTACATCAAAATGAAGCACTGAATCTGGGGGAATCACACCAGCTAGAAAATAAAGAGAGCTCACACTGAGAAGCTGCTGCCTTTTGGGCCAGACAAATAAACACCTAGGATGCTGCCAAGGTGAATGGAAGCCAAAAGGGCTCGAGAGGTCACATACAATTCCAAAATGAGCCACGTTCCCTCCTTATTTTTTCCAAATGAAAAAAAAATTTTTTTGGCCACACCCTGTGGCTTACAGGATCTCAGTCCCCTGACCAGGGATTGAACCCAGGCCATGGAATGGAAAGCCCAGGATCCTAACCACTAGGCCACCAGGGAACTCCCTCCAAATGAAATTTAAAGAAAAGAGGAAAAACACAAAAATTTCCTCTCAGCAAGGATAACATTCAGTACACCTGTGTTAATAACACTTCTTTCATATCTAGAATAAATAAATTTTTAAGATGAAATTTTAGCTGTGTGTGTGTGCTCACAGCTTCTCATTTTCCCCTACCCGAAGCTTCCAGAGACTCTAGTCTGCCTGACTGAAGAGCCTGCAAATGTTCTGGTGGTTTCGGCAGATGTGTTTACAAGCACAGAACAAACACTTACAAACTCCTTCACTTCCGTAGGCCAGCTTTGAGGGGATCTTCACAAAACGCCTCTCATTTACACACATCCCGACCAGAGCTTGGTCCATTCCTGCAATCAGTTGTCCTTTTCCCACAAACACGTTGAAAGTGGAGTCTCTGTCATAGCTGAAGACCCAAAAGGTAGGGAGAGAGAAGGAAAAGTATGAATAATCCTTCCCTTAATGAAACTAACCTGTAAAAACGTACCCATGGACAGAGTGAGGTCACTGCACAGTAAAAAGCCCACAGAAAGGGCTTCCCTGGTGGCGCAGTGGTTGAGAGTCCCCCTGCCGATGCAGCGGACACGGGTTCGTGCGTCCGGGAAGATCCCACATGCCGTGGAGCGGCTGGGCCCATGAGCCATGGCCGCTGGGCTTGCGCGTCCGGAGCCTGTGCTCCGCCACAGGAGAGGCCACAACAGTGAAAGGCCCACGTACAGCAAAAAAAAAAAAAGCCCACAGAGGAGTTACTGATGCAGGAAATATCTTCATTGGACAGTACTTGAAGGGTTGGAATTTTTTAATTACCTTGAATATTGCCAGCAAATCTAGTCAGATAAGCATCAGCATAACTCTCTCTAGAAAAAAATATATGTTGTTTGTTGTGAAATATCTACCAATTCTTCCATTAAAAAAAAAAATCGTTTACTCCATTTCTATGTGATTGGTACCTAACAGCAATATCACAGATACTCATGTGAAATTAACACTAATTTTCTTTTTTTTCTTTTAAGTCAGTAAGTTAAACAAAGAGGCAGCGTGGTGTAGGAGGAAGTGCGCTTAAACTCTCTTAATCTCAGTTTCCTCCACTGCAAAATGTGAGTGATGATAATAGCCATCACAAGATCCGTACCATATAACAATGTGAAAAGTACTCTGAAAACCTAAGGGTTATGCCAATATTACTATACATAATTATTGCAGGTGATAGAAAGTCTGACGTAGTCTTGAAATCACTAATACATGTGTTTTAAAGGCTGACTGGTGATGGCCTTAAGTAGGAAAATAAATAATGGAATCATGGCTATGATCCAAGCTCTCATCCTCTTCCATGTCAAACTTAGCAACAACAAGGGGGTGCCAATTAGGATACTATGCTAGGGGCTTTGGGGGATATAAAAAAGTCCAAGGCATGGACTTTGCCTACAAGTACCTTACATACTGGCAGAGACACCTACAGAGTTTTAGACTCTGTGTTTAAGAAAATGACTACAGAGCTTGGTTTATAATAACTAAACACTGGAAATAACTTACAAGTTCAAGAGTATGGCACTGATTGCATATAAGGCAAGGACATGTAATAAAATGCTCTATGGCCATTTAAAAATAACAGATTTCTGCTATAGGGATGTAATGTATAGCATTACTATACATGACTATAGTTAATAATACTGTATAGTGAATATAGTTAATGGTGACTATAGTTAATAATATTGTGTTGCAGGGCTCCCCTGGTGGCACAGTGGTTAAGAATCCGCCTGCCAATGCAGGGGACACAGGTTCAAGCCCTGGTCCAGGAAGATCCCACATGCTGCAGAGCAACTAAGCCCGTGCGCCACAACTACTGAGCCTGCGCTCTAGAGCCCGCGAGCCACAACTACTGAAGCCCGTGTGCCTAGAGCCCGTGCTCTGCAACAAGAGAAGCCACCACGATGAGAAGCCTGCACACTGCAAGGAAGAGTAGTCCCCGCTCACTGCAACTAGAGAAAGCTTGCGCACAGCAACGAAGACCCAACACAGCCAAAGATAAAAATAAATAAATTAGGGCTTCCCTGGTGGCGCAGTGGTTGAGAGTCCGCCTGCCAATGCAGGGGACACGAGTTCGTGCCCCAGTCCGGCAAGATCCCACATGCCGAGGAGCGGCCAGACCCGTGAGCCATGGCCGCTGAGCCTGCGCGTCCAGAGCCTGTGCTCCACAACGGGAGAGGCCACAAAAGTGAGAGGCCTGCGTACTGCAAATTAATTAATTAATTAATTATAAATAATAATAATATTGTGTTGCATATTCAAAGTTGCCAAGAAAGTAAATCTTAAGTTATCATTGGGATCTCCCTGGTGGCACAGTGGTTAAGAATCCACCTGCCTAATTGATACAGCCACTATGGAGAACAGTATGGAGGTTCCTTAAAAAACTAAAATTAGAACTACCATATGACCCAGCAATCCCACTACTGGGCATATACCCTGAGAAAACCATGATTCAAAAAGAGTCGTGTACCACAATGTTTATTGCAGCTCTGTTTACAATAGCCAGGACATGGAAGCAACCTAAGTGTCCATCAACAGATGAATGGATAAAAAAGATGTGGCACATATATACAATGGAATATTACTGAGCCATAAAAAGAAATGAAATTGAGTTACTTGTAGTGAGGTGGATGGACCTAGAGTCTGTCATACAGAGTGAAGTAAGTCAGAAAGAGAAAAACTAATACCGTATGTTAACACACATATATGGAATATAATAATAATTTAAAAAAAGGTTCTTAAAGACGCAGATGTAGTGAATGGACTTGAGGACACGGGGAGGGGGAAGGGTAAGCTGGGACAAAGTGAGAGAGTGGCATGGACATATATACACTACCAAATGTAAAATAGATAGCTAGTGGGAAGCAGCCACATAGCACAGGGAGATCAACTTGGTGCTTTGTGACCACCTAGAGGGGTAGGATAGGAAGGGTGGGAGGGAGGGAGACGCAAGACGGAAGAGATATGGGGATATATGTATATGTATAGCTGATTCACTTTGTTATAAAGCAGAAACTAACACACCACTGTAAAGCAATTATACTCCAGTAAAGATGTTAAAGAAAAAAGAATCCACCTGCCAATGCAGGGGATACGGGTTCGAGACCTGGCTGGGGAAGATCCCACATGCTGCAGAGCAACTAAGCCCATGCGCCACAACTACTGAGCCTGCGCTTTAGAGCCCGTGAGCCACAACTACTGAAGCCCACGTGCCTAGAGCCTGTCCTCCACAGCAAGAGAAGCCGCCACAATGAGAAGCCCGCGAACCGCAAGGAAGAGTAGCCCCCACTCGCCACAACTAGAGAAAGCCCGCATGCAGCAGTGAAGACCCAACAAAGCCAAAAAAAAAAAAGTTACCATCACAAGAAAACAATTTTTTGTAACTATGCATGGTGATGGATGTTAACTACACTTATTGTGGTGATCATTCTGCAATATATACAAATATCAAATCATTATGTTGTACACCTAAAACTAATATAATACTATATGTCAATTATACCTCAATAAAAAAAAATTTTAACATTTCTATTCATTGGCATAGAAGGACATACACATGAAGAGAAAAGTGTAGGTTACAGAGCTACATATAAAATAATCCCACTTTGAATTTACATATATAGGTGCATGTGAAAAATCCACAAGGTGACACATGAAAATATTACCAATAGTAATCTATGGGTAGGAGATTTCAGGTGACGATTTGTCTTCTCTCTAATTCTCTCTTAATTTCAAAATGATCATGGAATCATGTTCCCAGGTTTCACTTCATGGATTCGACCAACTGGAAATTGAAAATGTTTTTTCAAATTTCAGATAGTTCCAAAAAGCAAAAACCTGAATTTGCTGAACACCGGCAACTATTTACATAGCATTTACATTGTATTAGGTATCAGAAGTAATCTAGTGATGATTTAAAGTATACAGGAGAATGTGCCTTGGTTATATGCAAATACTACACCATTTTATATAAGGGACTTGAGTATCTGAAGATTTTGATATCCAAAGGGGTCCTGGAACCAATCCCCCATGGATACTGAGAGACGACTGTACTTATGTAATAAAATGTTAAGGGCTGTTGGAACTTACCTGCCCTTCACTTGGTAAATTACTTCTACATTTTCCTCATTTTCCTTAATGAACAGCTTGGGAGAGCAGCACAGTCCACCTCACCACCTGTCAGGTCATCTTCCTCAGACCTGCCCTCTCCTTCCCTTTCTCCTCCTAGTTTTAGAGTCCATTTCACAGCCTTCCTTTCTCCAACGTCAGTGAACAGAAAGCAAATGTCCAAGTTCTGGCTGATAAGCCAGAGGACAAAAGCACATAATCAGCTTTGTGCCGAAGTGGGCTCTAGCCTCCACCCTCTGTCTCCGGGGGACCGAAACCCACCCTGGGGAATGCCAGCTCTTCAGTTTCACTTGCCTGGGGCTTTGCCACACCCTGAACCATCATCAAACTGGAGGATTTATGGACCAGAATTCAGGCTTCGAAGACTTCCCAGGCACGGAACTTTATATTTTTCATCCACAGAACCCAAATTTAACGAGAGTTTTTAATAATAACTACTATTTACAGAGTGTTTATTATGTGTCAGGCACAGGGGTAACCTAAGCTTTTCTATATGCTATCTCATTTAATCCTCATACAACACCTGAAGGTAAGTGCTGATACTCAGGCTCCTGGAAGGTGAAAAAATTTCCCAAGCTCACAAAGTTAGCCAAATGAGAAAAAAAGCTAGAACCCAGGACTATCTGACTCTTATCCTCCATGCACAGGTCCTCCCTAGATGATGTATAAAAACTGGTATGGCCTCGCAGCATTAATTTATGCATTTGATGACTGCCTAAGCAACATGCTAGAAACAAAAAACACCTTTCCGAAAGAAAATGTATAGTTTACATACATGAGAAACTAACAAGCAAGGCCAGTTTTGTCTACAGCTGAAAACTCTGACCATCTGGAAAAATAGAGTTGTTCTCAGCAAGTCTGTGCTGATCAGCACTACTGGAACAAATTCATACACAGGGTCCAGCCAGGAGCTGGTCATGAAAATTATTTCTGCAAGTGCTGGAATTAGCCTTTATTCAGCCTGTCCCAGTATTGGGCTGATTTGCAGATGTCCCAATCGAGGTCCTGCAGGAAAGAGATGATAGGCACAAACTAGGCAGCTCCAGGACACTTTAATAAAGGGGCTGTGTGCAGGGTGCAGAGAAACAATTAAGGGACAATGCAGTACCTCTGGGGACAGGAAGGGAGTGCTGTTGTCACACCCAGACCTGAAGGATCCAGGAACAGAGAGGGAGCTCAGAGCACCTGACAGAAGCTAAGCTAGGACCTTTGGTCTAGGGACACAGCCCATGTGATGACTCTATAGGCAGG